AAACATGCTATTGACCCCTTTCACTATTCGCATTTTCAGAGTACTGCACTAAACATTACTCTGTAAAGCAATTTAAGCAAATATAATTAAGAATTTCAGCTTGAATGATTAAAGGAAAGTATGTCTCCTCTTTTCTCAGTATGCTGAGAGTATTGAACAGAACTGTGACTGAAAATTGAGCGTGTCTTGAAAACAAACCCCAAGGCTAAGTGAAAGTCAGTTTATAGACATTTGGGAATTTGATTTGTTCACATCTTCCCATAAGTTTAAAAAGATCTGTGCCAGTATTTCTGTAAAGTAAAATAATAATAGAAAAAGCCCCTGCAACTAATTTCAGAGTGCATAGGAGAGAAAATCCATAATGTTTTGTAAAGTGCTGGCTCGCCTAATAGATTGTTTGTTTTACTTTTAGGATATAGTCAGAAAGCCATTTGACAACCAGATGTGCATTCGACCTGTTAAAAAAAAGTGAACAAGAATTGTTTAGAATGCCAATCAATTCAGATATTACTGCTCATAATGTTGTTGGGCTTTTTTCTCTTTCAGGTCAGTTACTCAGTCAGTTCTTTAATCTTACATGTACCTTAGATAACATTATGAATATCTTATGTTTTATAATGTTAACCCCCAAATATAATGCTAATCAAAAGTTATGGAGTGATGAGGCTTTGAAAAATGTTGTATAATCTCATATATATAACTTCTGAGTTTATTGAATAGAGTGGTGATGAGTTCATATGGGCATGAAGTCAAAGTGAAGTAAAGCAAAGCTGATGTTTGAGTAATGTGAGACATTTTATTTTGATTTTAAAAGAACATACTTAATCAATGTGGTTGTGGACAGACTCTCTTACTGATACCACAAACCACCAGACTAGAATTGTACACAGAATAAAAACTGCATGCAAAAGGTCTTACAGTAGTTGTATCAAGACTGAAAACTATTACTCAAAATTGGTGCTATCTGGTTCTCTCTTATATTTGTCATCGTTTCAACACAGAAACTGTTTCCCACAGGTATTGCATAGCAGAGTATGTATTGCATAATCACACAGAGAAGTTTTAAGGAACCTTATAGAGATATTTAAAAAAATCAGGTTCGAAGTGCTTTGTACTTAAGAAAAAATGTTTATTTTCAGTGTTAAAGTATTATAATGGTTTAATGTCTAAATGGAATGCTGTAATCAATGTTTTAATTCCTGTTTCATGGTTTCTAGTGCTCTTCAATGTGTTACCTGAGGTACTGGAATATAATTCTCATTCATTAGAATAAATATATTTCCCATGACTACAGCAGTGTGAAACCAGTACATAAAACTGGTCAGTTTGTTTGTGAGATTAACACTGAGAAGTTTATATCCTCTCTTGGACACTGAAAAATGTTTTTCAGTGGCATTATCAGTTTTCTACAAAACATCTCTTAAAGTGAGGAGGTGTTTTGTTCCTACAGTTCTAGGCTTCTTTGTACCAAAACTGCCGTCTTGTTTAATGACATTGCTACGTGGGTTGAAATTAGGCTGACAGATTGTGAGCAAAGGCTGTGATATTACAAACAATAGTCTATTGAGCATGAGGAACTTGTTGAATTAGTTACCGAAGGCATTAGTGTTCAGTCCAGCCTCTTTAGCATCTGGAAGACAGGGAAGAAATAGTGTGCTAATGAAATGTTCCAATGACACTGAGCTGCAAATGGCTGCAGGTGACAATGGCAGCTGATGTGTGCTCTGAGGGAGCCTGGGAAGAGGCAGTTCCGTGGGCAAAAGTAATAAAGTGAGATGCAACTGGCAAAAGCAAAAAAATACTGATTTAGGAGGGAAGGGAGTATTCGAATCAAGAGAGAAAACAGTGTTGGGACTCCTGGAGAATTGAGCACACAGTGATTAAACTGTCAGACACACTGCTGGATTTGAGATGGGTAGATAGGTCTTCCAGAGCAGACTGGATGGCAGTGGTTCCAGCACACCAGCACTTCACCATCAGTGATTTCACTGACATTGGTACAATTCTTCTCTGCTAGTTTATGGATCCTGTGGATTCCATAAAGTACTTCTGAGTGCGTCATCTGTCCCCCGTACAATTCAGATCAGTTTGGTGTTAAAAAAGAAACTGAAATGTGCAATAGGTCAAAATCAAGGTCTCCTTTTGCTCTGTTTTAATTGTTCACTTAATAATCTTTTAGTTTCCTATGCCTTGCAGTACAAGGTTTTAATGGTCTTTGAACTTAAAATGTGAATTAAATTGCTTCTGTGTCCTTCTTTGCAAGTAATTCAATCAAAATTTGCACCTCTGGTCTGTGCTGCAGATAACTTAATCTGTATCTGGAATTGCTGGGATCACTGGGAGTCATGTATACACAGTATACATGGACCTGGTCCACAGTCTGTGTCCATCCAGCCTGCTGCTCTAACCTTGGAGGATCCAACAGGATCCCATGCACAGCTGCAGTAACTCTGGGCGTCCACACACCAAGCTTTGTACAGAGAGAGCTTAACTGTGACCTGTGAGGCAACTGGAATCCAACCTTTTTGGATGAACAGCTTGGACCACTTAAAATATCAAAAAAATATTATTATCCCAACTGTGTCATTTATGCATGACATTTAATGAAAAATACAAAAAGTATTTTTAAGTCCTTTATTTAAAAGTCCTTTATATAAAAGTCCTTTATTTAAAGGTATTATAATGGTTTTGCTCTTCTTGTTTACTTTGGATAATAATCTGTAGGAAATTGTAGTTTATATTACAATTCGAGTTCTTTTGTTGTCAGTAAGTGATGGGTTTGACCCTTGTGGCAGAAAGGGCACTTGGTTGTGTCAAGGACTTCACCTAAAGCCAGGAGATATGGTTGGTTGGCCTTGGCCAGCTGCTTGATGCTCATCCAGCACTCTCATCCACACTTCTCAACAGGAGAGGGGTGAGAAGATAAGGTGAAAAAGCTCTTGGGTCGAATACACACAGGGAGATCCCTCACCAATGGCCTTCACAGGCAAAACAGGCTCCACTGGGGGAAACTAATTTATTGCCCGTTAAAACAGGTTTGGATAGTAAGAAACAAATTAAAACTAGAACAGTGCCTTCCTGCCCATCCTTCCCTGTTTCCCAGGATCAACTTCACCCGACTCACAAGGAGCAGAGTGAGGGGATGGGGGCTGCTCCCTCCTCACGCAGCTCCCCTGCTCCACCCTGGGCCCTTCCCTTCCCACAGCCCTCGGCCTGGCAGGAGCGCGGGCTCCAACCTGGCTCCTCTGTGGGCCACTGCTCCTTCGGGAGACATCCACCTGCTCCAGCCTCTCCCCACAGGACACAGGAGAGTCTCTGCCCTGGAGCCCAGAGCACCTCATTCCTCCTCCTCCTCCTCAAGCCCCTGTTCTCCTCAGCCTCCCTCACCCTTCTGTGTGGGTTTTGCCCTTTTTTAAACGCGTTTTCACCACGGCACCTCCACCTTGGCTGAGGGGGCCGGGCTGTGCTGTGGAGTGCAACCATTATGGAGCCGGCCGGGACCATCGGGAACAGGCTGGAATGGGCTCAGGGAGCTCAGCCTGCAGCCCCACTACCGACACCCGGGATGGCAGGTGACATTATTGGTATTTGGCAGAGGAATTCTGGCTGTACAATAGAGCTGTTTTTTCAAATATTTCCAATGCCAAGTGTCTCCTTGAGGCGAGCGCTCAGGAACAGATTGTGAGCGTGGAGTGGGTCTCTGCAGAGGGAAGCAGTGGAGAGAATTTTCTTCTGAAAAGAGGGATGTGGGTAGGAAAGCAGAGTATAACATTAAAAATAGGGAAGATTAAAAATGTTCCATTAGTAGAGCTAGAAACAATTTAGGATGAGGAAGAAATCCTGGAAATATATTGATGAAGAGAGTTTTTCCCTGCTTCTTTTCCAGTTCAGAACAGCAGATCAGCCAAATTTTGCTGCTTGTGCTGGTACTGAGCAGTGTGTTAGCAGAGAAGAGTCCTATTGACTGCCGTGGGACTTGCTGAGAAGGGAATTGTTTAGCTCAAGTAGCTTTATAAAAACATATTTGAATGCAACAATATATTTCCAACCTAAAAATATATATCTAACCCCAAAAATATATTTGTAACCCATGTTTCAGTGCTATTTTTAATTTAATTTTTAAATAAATGTAATTTAGCATGTGAGCTAGAGTATGGCCCTGTCTTACAAGATATGGTGAGGTGAGTTTTGGATTGAATCAGGAAAATTTAAAGTCTTATTTTTGTAGTGTATAAATGAATTGGACAGTCTAAACCCTGTCTCTAAAAATCCTGGCACACTTCAAAGAAAAAATGCCATTTTAGCAATTTAAAAGCACTTAGTGGGTTTTCCCAGTGCTGAACTTTGTTTCTATAGCCAGGGTGGTTGCCTGCAGGATAATGCCATAGGGGACAATGTCGCTCTGCCTACATTTAAAAATATTATTCCATGAAATTCACTAGGAACAAGCTGAGGCAAAAATCTCTTTATTTCTTTGGAAAGAGGTGTTAGTTGAGGAAAAGTATTGAGATAGTTTTTGAATCAAAAAGGAAAGGAATGCTGGCCCATCTGTGGGGGAAAGGGATGCTCAGAGCACCAGCCAGAGGAGCCAGGGGGAAATGTGGGGACTTTTTAGTTTTGGAGGGGCTTGAACATGAGCAGCAATTGGAAAGAAAGAAATCCATACAAGTGGGGGCTAAAAGATGTGCAGAGACATCAGCAGAAAAATGGAAAAAAGAAACAGTTAAAAGGATGTTAAGGCACATAATTGGAATACTCAGAGAAGAGGAGGCAAAAGGTCAATTGGATTGAATAATAAAAATGCATGTTGTCTTCTTTTTGATATATGTTTTATTTTTTGACTATGATTAGGCCTTTTAAAAGTAATTATGAACTGTTGTAAGGCTTATTATACTTGTATATTTTAACCAACAGAGGTAGGCATTTTTAAAACTTTTCTCAGTGTGTTTCCTGAGGAGTTGATTCATTAAAATGCATTCTTTTTCATTTGTTCCTGGTAGGGAACCTTGGGCGGGTGGACCATGTCACAGAGTTTGAGTATGACCTGTTCATCAGACCAGATACCTGTAACCCACGCTTTCGAGTCTGGTTCAACTTCACTGTTGAAAATGTGAAAGAATCACAGGTAAGTGCTGCTCAATTAGATGGTATGACAGCTTTAAAAATTGCTTGCTCCAGAACATATTTTCTTAAACAAAAAAGGTAACATCTAGGGTCTGTAACTAAAAACTGCTGTAAAATGTCTTTTTGTTCTTTGCATTTTTATAAATAAAAGCAGGTGTCAGCATGACTGGGTATGACCATGCTTCTCAGCTATCCAAAACAGCAGGTAATTGCAAAGACATTGTAATGTTTGCCAGCTACCAGAACTTGTATTAATAATGGCTGCTATATATTTGTGGTTTTATATTCCAACCAAATACGTGTGTTAATATATGGAAAAGAAGTCCATCATTGCTGTTCAAACATTGTCACTCAAGCTTTCATTTAATACATGTAGAACAACGAGGTAGCTTTGCAAACAGGCATTTCTCTAGTGACTTGTAGCAGAGGAGTTGCTTGCCAATGTGTCCCTTGTGAAAGAGGAGGTTTAAATCTGAGTCAACTCAATTTGATAGGCAACTGTTTTACTTTTAAACAATGTTTCTTTGCAGTAAAAATGCCCCCTGAGGAAGAAACCTCCTTGCTCTAATTTTTCGCTTACAAACTTGTAAAAGTTTTATACAAACTTTCCCATTGAAAAACCAGAAAACATTTAATTCCACTTTTTGTGTCCATCTTGCATTTTATTTTAGTTTATCAGAATCAATCTGTCATTTTTACTTAATGGAAATAAAACACATTTAGTAAGAGAAAAAAACTGCAGAAGGTTGATATTTGTATTCCTACGAGACTAATATCTTCATATCCACCACTGTACCATTCCTGTTACAACTAGAAATCATGAAATTGTTTATCTGTCTTCCTGGAGCCTGATACTTTATCAGACAGACCCTTTCCCCTGCTGTGCCTTACTCAACTGTGATCAAATTATATAGTCATGAGATGAATGGGAATCTGTCTCAAGGAGGCAAAGAGATCGGGTAGAAAGATACAATATATATCTAGGGCTTACAGGATATTTGTTTTCATGGTTGTCTACATGAAAGAGAATGGTTCCACTATTAAGTTTGACTTGTGAGGTCTGTTTTTATAATGTGTGTTCCTATAATCTTTTTTCCATCTCTCCAATTTCCGTTAAAATGAGACCTGCATGGACGTAATCTAGTCTGGAACCCTTTTTAGGCCTTTGTACTAGAGGCCATGGGCAGTATTAGTCATTTCAGCTCAGCTATATTAAATGAAAGTTAGAAGTTGCTACATCAAACATACTGTATAATCTGTTTTCTGCATTTTGATTATTTTATTTTATGTTTTACTAGAAAACAATGACATGGAAACTCAAGCTATTCAGTATTGCTTAAAAATGTTGCACTAATACACAAATAACTTTGATCACAGTATGTGTAAAAGTAGATATTTTAGTAACTGTCTGTAAATCATTGCCTGTATAATATTGTATTTATTTTTGATTTATCATATAGGTAGTGTGTGAGGAAGGCACTTTTATACAGTTATATATACTGGGTCTGGTTTCAGCCATTTGGATGAGAACTCACAAAGAGTAGCTACTTTTATTTGTTTTATATATTATCTATTAGTGCAGTATTTTGTGTTACTAATCTAGTGATAAATGAAAACAAAGACCTATTAGACATTCCTGCCAATCTTACTGTCCATGCATTATCATTCTGTAGAGAAAAGGTTTTTTACATTCCAGTTTTAATTTTCTTAAGGCACGGAGCCTCCATTTCCTATGGCTCAAAACTGCTCCATAGACTCCTCTCACTTACAGTGTTGCTTGATTTTTAGCCTAAAGCTTTCCTTTATTTAATCCCACAGTTCCCAGTTGCAATTCTGCTTAGTAATAACTCCTCTTGGTACAAATAAATCCTCACCATCCATGGCTAACATTTATATTTCTGTAAATTATAACATTCCTCATCATTTCTGTCTCAACCTAGCTATCATGTTTGGTTCTTTCAGCCATATATCCAATAGACCACTTTACCTTTTAAGTATTTTTCCGCTTTGGGGCCTTTGGACTTTCATCATAAGTGAATCTTTCAAGCCCTTTGGTAATTAGCCTAGTTTCCCAGGGAAGCAAAGCTTATATGATCACACTGTCTGCTTGAAGCCTGGTTTTTTGTATGGCTGCTGATCTCTCTCCCCTCTGTTTTCTCCCTCAATAGCTTCTTAACTCTTGGCCAGTTTCAGCACCACTGGACAGGAATTCCTGTAAGTTTTGGGAAAACAGGCTGCCAGATGGGCAAGAGAGCCATTAGTGTTCCCACTGGCAGCCAGGCTATAGTATGAGATCATTTCTTATTAAACATCAGAGAATCCACAGAGGAGATGAATAGGAGAAAGTACTCATTGGAATTTGCATTTTTAAGATACCAGAGAATCCAACCGTGAAATCCAAATCCATAACATTGAGTAATTTTGCTTCTTGCAGAACTTTTTGTTTTTATTATTATTCTACCTCTTCCAGTTTCCTTCAATATTTTCTTTATAGTGCGGAACTAAAATGTAATGGACAATTCCGAGTACACTAATCCCAACTTTCAGAGAAGGGACTGTGGTCCCTTTGCTCTGTTACTGTCTCAGTATAGACAGCTGGAAATTGCAGCAGCCTTTTGTTGCTGTATCACTATGGAAACTCAGGCCTAATTTGTTTTTCCCTATCATCCAGAAGTCTTTTTCAGAATGATTGCTTCCGTGCTCCTGGTACGTGTGTCTGAGGTTACTGCTGTGCTTCAGCAACAAGGGCAGGTAATGGAGCTAAGTTCTGTAGCATTTCAGTGACAGCTCTAATATTTTCAGCATTATTTTTATAATTTTATTCTAAACTTGATTTATTTGATGTTCACTTCCCTGCGTTGGAGTAGAACCAACAGAATTTTTTTTTACTTGGAAGTTGGTGAGTGAATTTCTTCTTCCTTATGACTTGGACTTCTACATCAGACATTTTGTGTCATCAATTTTTTTTTTAGCAAGGAAAAATTCAAAAGAAATATCTAATGCCTTGTATTTATGGGGGAAAAGAACCACCATATAAGATACCTGTGAGATGTAAAATCTGGTCTTTCGGTCTCCTTATACATTTTCTGACTTGCAAGTCAGTCGGTTTGAAAAGATTTGAGCTCTGGATTTTTTTTTGTTATTTGTTCTGTGAATTCATTCAACACCAATATTGGGAAAAAAAAAAAACCACAACTGATACGTTATATGCAAGGAAAACACATACTCTTTTATGATTTACACATATCCAAAGGGAGAGTGAAGGAAATAGGATTTGCTGTGGAACACATGGTCTCTTGGGCAAAGCCTCCAATTTCTCTAATTATGTACGTGTCACAGGCTGCTGTCTATTTCTGGATAATGCTCTGTATTGGGCAGGGTTTGTTTCCTATTCACTTCAGCCATGGTCCTTACAACACCATCGATGATTTTGCTAAATTTCTTCTCTGTGGAATGGGAAATTGGGTGAAAAAATTTCATCTCCAAATTGCGTTCCCAGTATTTTAAACAGGCCGTGCTTCAGGTGCGAGATTACCTCTGAGCTGGAATGTCTTTAATTCTGTTAGTAGCTACAGTGATTCATTTGAGCTTCTTGTGAGAAAAAGAGAGATGTGTGTATGTGTGAGAAATTATAAAAATATACTGATATTGGAGGATTTTACCGGTGAAAAGAATGATTATTGCTCTTGAGGGCCATAGCCAGAAATTCTTCTCAAGTAGTTGACACTCACTGCTCCAGATACTGTAACCATGCCAGAAAAAGATGATCTCTGTCCTGAAAAATATACTTTTGAGCAATTTGAGAAGAGATAAGAGTTAAATAGAACAAACTGATGAAAGGATTAAAAATATCTGTGAGGATTTTAGTTTCACAAACAACAGCCATATTATACCAATAAGTAAAGCACATCTAGGCCTCATGAAATATTCTGTATGTGTATGTACCCTGAACAGCTCTGCTGTCTGATGAATCATGTTGAGAAATGGTATTTTCACTGAGATTAAAAAAAGAATTTCCAACAGAAGGGGTTTCCTAATAGTGCCAAATTTTGTTCTGTAAGTGTTGATAAACACATTTGGAGTTCTTCATCACAAAGGTACTGACAAAATATACCAAGAAGGAGAGAGGAGAAGAATGGATATTTGGGAGATACCATTTGATCATTACTTACAGTTAATAAATCAATCCAGATTGAGGTTAAAATCAAAGAACCAAACGTTATTTACTTCAAAGGCATTCTCTCTGTTACTTCAGTTGCGTTTGGACTGAAACTAGAATTTTGACTCATGATTTTTTGGGGGATCTTCTGTTATGTGTATGTATGGATCAGGAAAAAGGAAAAATTGCTTCAGAAATTGAAACGGGATGCCAAGGTAAGACAGAGAATGTCACAGCTGGATATTATTGTGAACTTGTGGAGCTGTCATTGTAGAGTTCTCTCTTTTTTTGTAAAATGTAAAAGGCTGTAAGATCTCTGTTGTCTTTAATTGATTAGATTTTCAGGAAATATTAATATCGACATTGGATTTTATAGTATGTTCAGGCCTCTTATTACTGTCCTAAAACAACTCAATGACCCTTAGCAGACAACTGCTTCTTTGTGATTTACAGCTGTGATTGTTTAAAGGTATGAATGGTATGTGTACAGGGAAAGAAAATGTCTCTTATTATACCAACTGATACATTTTGGATAAGCAGGGGGGGGAAAAGAAAAGCAAAAAAAGTACCTCACCTTGATGTGAGGTGCTTAATTTTTTTTTCTGATCTAAGAACTTGGTCTGTGCAGTTAATTTGTTCAGAAGCTGCATCCGAAGTTAGATGGAGTGAAGATGACATCAAAAGCAGTCTAAAGTTGGAAATAGGCTACCTTTTTACTTTCTTTTTCTTAAGCAGACATTCTTTGCTCTACTGTCATGTGGGGATTTAAGTTACTGGTATCAAGATGCTTGATAACATCTTATAGTTGTTCCAGCTTCTCATGTTAGAAGGCAGATATTTAC